CTCACTCTCAATTCTTGCGTTCATCCTTCGGGATAGATACATGATTTGAGATAAAGCGTTCTTTCATCTAAACTATGAAAATTATGGGGTCAGTTTGACTTCATCTTTTTCAAAACTAAATTTTTTAAAACGTCCTTCCGAAGCGGGCAACGGGATTTCAATTCCGATGACCGACAACTTATTACGGGCAAACCCCACACCAAAAATAGTGCCGACAGGGAACCAATAAGAATAATAAGAAACTTCGTAGATTGAAGAAAAGATGTTTGTGAAGTACTCGCAACAGTTCTAGAACTAAGATATTAATTTGGAGACTAAATTCTTTTAAGGAGGGTTGTATGTAAGATTACAAAATTTAGTTCCTTTTCTTGTTTGTCACTGTCTTCCCAATTTGGACTTTCATGATTCTTTCCTTTCTCTTCTTCTTCCTCTCCCTTATCACTTTCCTAAACTGTTCGATTGCACTATCTCACTACTCTATAAGAGCAAACTAGGGCATTGCGACATCGCCCCATCCTGCTTGCCCGCCTTATTACGTAACCATCAAAACATTTTTATTGAACATCCACACTTAGAGCTGGCCGGAAAGGCAACAACGGGATTGTAATTTACAAAGACCACTAAAACCTATAACCTTCACCCTCTTTCTTCTTCCTTTCCCAAAGACAACAGCTATAGAGTTGTCTTTAGTCGAGTCTCAATTTTGGTTGACCATAGCCAAGGCATAGGGTAAGCTCTTCATTTTGTATCGATTTGCTCACTTTTTCAATATTATTGTTAGTGATTGTTAAATTAAATAGATTTAATATCATAATCACTTGACTATTTTCTTAAATTAGAATAAGTTGTCTTTAAATAAATCCCTAATGCTTCTTATATTAATAATAATATCATTATTAAAATTAATAGATGCTAGTGAAGTTGCATCTATCTAAAGAAATAATTAGTTTTAATAATTTCATGATTGCTAATAATTGTGGAATTTGACTCTTATAAGAATTGCTAGTCAGCATTAGTTGAACAACAAAAATATATGGAGTTTTATTGCCATTTCGAGGTAAAAAACTATTTTTTTATTAGAGGATAAACATATTCTTCCTAGTTGGATGCTTTAATTCTTGTTATTTATGGTATATTCATCGTAATTTCATAAGATTGTCAGTCGTACCCTTGCCGCTTTAATCATTATTTTGCACTTGTTATGAGCTTTAATTATTACTCATGATGAAATCACTAATTGTCTTGCTCTATTGCTGTAAAACTCCAACAAATGTGAATAAATCTCAAAGTTAAAATATTTTCCTTTCCTACACTTTTCTTTTATGAAATGACATGTATATTTATATCACAAGCTTCTATACAGTAACATATTTCTTACATATGATATATGTGGAAAATTTGGTTTGTTTGTGTGACTACATCTAAGTTGATGGAACCCTTTTGAATATTAGTTAGCCAGGGCAACGGGCCCACACAGTGATAAGTCTACAGGAAATCGTTGGGTTTCCTTGGATTAGTATTGACCTTCCTAGTTTCTTGGTGTATGTTAAAACCGATTATATAATTATAAATAAAAAACAAAATAATAAGAAATTCTATTCAAAATAATTGCATGTTTTCTTACGATAAGTAAACAAATTTGATGTTCATAACACTCTTATTGTCTAAAATGTTATATATTCACGTAGTAATTATTTCTATTTGTTGTTCATACTACATACCCAATTTCCTTTATCGTTTGTGTTTTAATAAACAACTGTATTAGCGGGCCAAACTCATTCATTAGCAAGATTGTCTTCGCCAAAACAGACTTTTCATTTTTAGATTTCTTGTCTTGATATTTTTCTTAGTACTTATTTTAGCTATTGTATTTCTCTTTTCGGGTCTGGTTAGTCGCGTCCTGTTGTCATTTCAGTTTTGATTAAGTCAATATTTTGTTTTATTTCAGTTGTATTAGTTGACTATTAAATATGATATAAAATTTATATTTTCGCATTTATTCTTGTTATTATTTGCATGCAACTAATTTTTTTGAAAATAGAAATCATGTTCAATTCATCTCATCATGCCCTGCGTTGTGGGATGTACTGCCACTTTAAATCATGTCAATTTTGAGCATTTGTAATAAAATTATTATGGATAAATTGGGTACTCGAGCTCTATGCTTAGCGTTTTATGATAAGAGTTTTCATAAATACTGAGGTTTTTAATTCATCATTATTCTGAGTTATAAACCAAGTTCGCTAAAGATCAACTCCATTATATTAGTTAAGCGTATTTTCGGGAACAAGTTCGAATCATGTTTCTGGGAGAATCGATTCTCTGCTGCCAAACGCATATTTCAGATTTTCATTATGAAAACAATTACATTACTTATATCATTTAACTGAAATTATGAATCGATCCTCAAATTTTGACTAAATTACAAACTATCATCTATATATATATATTTATGTGTGTGTGCGCGCTTTGAGTGTGCATGTGTGTTCCGTGGTCTGTTGGCAAAGTAGCATCTTTAAAAGTCGTAAGTCCCTTACGGTCACATATTCGAATCCCCCGCGTGTAGGGGGTGGTACTCGAATATTTAGTACACCTAGGGATGGTCAGGGCTCATCTAATAGCCTAGAGGAGTCATATGTGTTGAAGCATACCCTAAGGTCGTTCGAGCCGACATTATACACTCATGACATCAAAAAATAATGCTAAACAATGACATCTTCATCTTTTTTTTATTTTCATGGCAGTCATTGGAGAACAAATTAGTGTGGTTTGTATGTCTTTATAATTCCATCTTATTTATTTAAAAAGAAGAGCAAATTTTTATAATCCCAAACACAAATAGTATATTATTTTACATGGCTCAATCCATCTGATATTATCCCTTTTTTAGATTTACTATGTAAAAGTTCCGGTGTGTCACTGGCACCGATTTCATCATGTTTATGTGTGGGAATTTTGATGCAAAATTAGGAGGTAAAATAAGATAAATTTCATAAACTTTTTAGAGCAATAATAAAACATAAAATTATATATTAATTCTAATAATAAGATAAATTTCATTCAACTTAAAATCGAATGGTTTCAAATTGAATTAATTTTATTTTCAAATCTAAGATGCCAAATACCTATTGATTTTCTTATATATGGTCAAGCTAAATCAAGTTCCTATGAATTATCAATCGCCAACCACATTGTTGTATGCATTGATATTACCCCGCATTAGCTAATATATTAGTGTGCCTTTGTTACGAGAAAACTTGTTGGGATGGACAACCACTGGACGCCACATCGCCATATCTCTTATCGACAGGCGACATGGCGGTCAGTAGTTGACCGTCCGGACGTGCTGACGTCCACACAGAACATTTTTTTCCTTTTTTTACATGGGTGCAACTCGGATCAATATCACTTTGATTTAGTACTAAATATCTCTATTATTGGAACCAAAACCAACACAAAATACTTGAAAGAGAATCGAGACATTGAAAAGCATTATTTATAAACTTCTTTAAATTTGTGGCATTTACATATAAATCATTGATTCTTATGCATTTACATATCTTGCACCTAAACTTTGTTATTTTTAACATTTATACTACCTAAATCATTCATATCACATATCAAAATATTACTATTTTAAATGCTAAAAATTGTTCATTTTATTAATATATTCGCCTTTGGGCTTTTGTACACCAATATATATATATATATATACACACACACGCGCGCGCACGCGCGCGCGCACGCACACACACACAAGCAAACAAATTGATGTTTTAGTTCAAAATATATTAAGAGCTTCATGCACAAGGTGAGAACCCGCTTGAACCGATCGAACTAGTTCAGGCCAAATCAATTCTTCCAGCATTTTTTTAATTAGCATATATATGGTGTTTCATGTTAAAATGAGATCTTAAACTTTAATAATCGAAACTTTGATCAATTCATCATCAATGTGCCCGTAACATTGATATATACAAAATAGTATATTCATATCACTTAAAATATTATCAATGGTGATCTCCATCACAACACCACAACAGACCACCTTGTCGTCGATTATTCTATAAGAAAGCTTGATGAATTATTTGTTGTAATTAATCATGTGAAATATTTTTAACAAGGACCAACAAATCCTTGCAAAAGCAACAATAACACATCCTCAATTAGTTATGAAAGATCTTTTAGTTTAAAGCTGACTTGAATTCTCTCAGAATTCTTACAAGTGGCAATCATGCATGAGCCTTCTCATGGAAACTATTACTTCTACTACTACATCCATCACTTATAAGGCCAACATTGCAATGTACAAGCTTCACTATTGTCACAACCACCGATTGTACAACTTGTGTCACAACTTTCTCTTGCATCATAGTAATCGCTTGAAAGACCTATAAAGCAAAATTTGCATGTTATGTTATTGTAAGGAAATTACTCTGCAGCTTTTAAAATAGAATAATGGTTGGAAAAAAAAAAAAGTGAAGGATCCTAATGGGCTCAGTTTGAGGGCTCCTCAATGCCTGAAAAAGAAAAAATAATTTAGTCCTTGTTATGTTAGTCATCACCATTTGTTATAATTGTTAATGATAATTACAACGGTTGATCCATTTACATCATATCTATATGTTCTCTAATTACATGGTGAGTAAAGATGCTTCATAATTCTTTCCTACAAATATAGATGTATACATAAATACGAGTATAGAAAATTTTTCGCTTATTAAATTTAGCCACCTACTAAAGTGGCTGAATTGAGCTTACTTGTCGAAGTGGCTAAATTGAGCCCACATGTTGAGTATATTCATTTCCCCCCAAAAGAACAGCTCAACCCACCTATGCGAGGGCAGCTATCGTAGGGGGGTCATCATAACTAGTTAGGACATCCATCGATCCAGTATTAAGGACGTCTCTCAACATTTGAAACTCGATCCTTTCACCCAGACACTTGGGATGGGCGTTATACTGGCAAAACCTGACACCTCATATCACGGCATTTTCATCAAGACAACATAGAAGGGCGTCGTATAGTGCAAGGTGTACAATGTCGATTATTTTTTTTCCTTTGTCTATAAAAGGAAGGGAAAAAGACTCCCTCAGATATCTTGCAACTCATGAAGACTCTGAAAAGTCGTACTCCTCCGGGTTATCGGAGATAAAAATTTTATACATCTTCTAAGATTTCCTCTTAAGACTCTCATTCATCTCTCTATAATTTTTTTTCTCTACAATACAAGGTCTCACGAATAGTACAAGACCCTATGTCTCAAAATGATTCAACATCCTAAAAGTTGCAATAAGTGTGGAGTTCATACAAAACTCTGCAAAAAGATCATTTCGTCTGAAGAATGGCCTTAGAGAATGATGGATTGTACTAGAGAGTTCGTGACTCAACAAATTAATGAGTTAAGAGAAATAATGAGAAAGGAAATGCATCACATGTGAGAAGCAACTAGAACCCTTTCTCGGTCCATAACACACACTGGATCATCAAGATCGAAGGCCCATGTCCAAGATCTGCTGAAAATAGAGGGTGTAGCACGACAAGAGTTACCGGGATAAGAGGTACAAAGACAAGAGCAGCCAAAGTGAGAGTTGCATGCCCATAACTACCAAGAGCTGGGATAAGAAGAAATCTTGATCCAATCTTTGAACGACAAAGATTGTACATGGACGACCTCAATCGCTCAGAAAGAAAAGGACTTATTGCAGACTCAATTGGAAAAGAAAGAAGAAAAAGACGGATATTTTCTCCTAATTATTCTAAGAAGAAGAAAGGAGAGGAAGGAGGAGTCATAAACACAGAAGAATGCATTCTCAATAGAGATTTCAGAAGTCAAGGTGTCGAGGAAGATTAAGATTTCATTTCTGGAATCATACAAAGGAAAATTTGATCCCGATCCCATCGACCACATGAATTCCTTCGAGTTAGTTGTTTGTTTACTCAGGATAAATGACACACTAAAATGCCATTTATCCTTCATGACATAGAAAGAATCAACTATGCAATGTTTCAACCACATGGCGGTAGAAGTTAATACTTCCTTCCTCATATTTAAACAAATGTTTGTGGCTCAATTTGCCAGCGCAAAAAAATCTCAGAAGAACTCGCAAGCACTCCTAAAAATATACTAGAAGCCCACCGAGAGCTTGAGGAGCTTCATCACTCATTCTCAACGGAAAATGTTGACGTTCAAGACCTGAGCCTGCTATCACCCACGTAGTTTTAATCAGGTCCTATGTGAAGGGCAATTTTGATATACACATAACTTGCAGAAGTCGAAGACATTAGCAAAGTTTTTGAAGCTCACGAACAGTCACATCTTCGTAGAAGAGTATAATTCTCGCCCTATACCCTCTCCACTACTAGAATACGGGGAGAAATATCATAGCTAATCTCATATTGATTTTTAGGACTAGAGGAGTTACTTGAGGAAGAGGAAGCCTTAGAGCACCCCTAAAAAGCACATCCGTCGGGATTGAAGAAATGCTGAGGAGAGAATGGAAAGGAGAAAATCAAAAAGGACTCAAGAACTGCTTCGACTACCCCCTCCTCCTGCTGAAATCGCACATTAAGGGTTTTGATTGCTGAAGTTGTAAAGGCCATCTAGATTAAAGACTATTTCAAGAAGTCCTTTCCCATGAAAGAGGGCACACATGCCTGTGATCCCAATAGATGCTATGCTTAATCATTAAGATCATGGTCATGATACAGAGGAGTGTTGGCATCTTCGCAACCTAGTCAACGTCAAGGCAATGTGTCAATCGAGGGCGAGAGTGATGCGCCTGCTCCGACAATGTTGGTCCACATTGTTAGAGTTGTATCAACCATCTTCGGAGGAGACGAACTTGAGGCTTCATGAAGGTTCGACATGAAAAAGTTAAAGACATGAGATATTTGTTCAGTCACTTTAGCAAAATGTACCAAACTGATCCACACTCCAATCACCTTTTTAGATGTTGATTTGCCTATCGGCAAAAACCCCTTTAATGAGGCTATCGTAATCACTGTTGTCATTTTGATAGACTTAGGAAGCTTCATAAACATAATGTTCAAAGGAGTTTTTGAGAAAATATGAATCACAATCAATTTATTGGCCACCTCTTTTAGACTTCTTTATGAGACATGCAAAGTCATTGCTCTTCAGGTTACTTGGAGAGAAGGTGAACGTCAATTAAAGGTGATATCCAATTTTATCATTGTAGAAGCCCCCAACACATATAATGTCATCTTCCATAGGCCAAAGCTAACCATTTTCAAAGCAATTATGTCCACCAACCACGTCGTCATCTAGTTTTTTATTGACAGACAAGCAATCATCATTAGTGGAAACCTAGTTCAGTCTCGAATTTGCTACTTATAATGCCTGGAGAATGTGCACGAAGATATCCTCCTACTCGACCATAACAAGGGCAGCAGTCTTGAAGCTATAAATACCCCTGAAACAGTGCTTGCATCCAAAGATGAAACAAAGAGAACCTTCTTGGTCAATACCAAATTCAGCGGAGAACACAAGATCATCTCACTGAAGTTCCCAGGAATCACCAAGATGCCTTAGCATCGAGTCCCAACAAGATGGCTAAAGTTTACATAGAAGTTACCTATCATTATTTGAACGCCAAGCCAAGATCCAAGCCGCTTAAGCAAAAGATTCGAGCCACAAACAATAATTTACCTGAACCAAATAAGCAAGAAGACTCAAAGGTGATACATAATAGATTTATACGGAAGGTATAATATCCTGAATGACTAGCCAACATTCTAAAAGTGAAAAAAAGAGAATTACAAGTGCAAAATATGTGTAGATTTCACTAATTTAAATGCGCCATGTCCTAAAAATAGCTATCCACTATCACAAATTGATGTGCTAGTCGATTTAACAGTGGGATATTTGGTCATGAGTTTCTTAGACAATTTTTCTGGTTATCACAAAATTATGATGCATCCAACCAAAGTAAAAAAGATCACCTTCGTCATAAAGGAAGGAGTTTTTCGTTATGTAATTTATTTTGGTTTGAAGAACTCTAGCAGCCGACTCTTGGACATTTGCGTAGGTGTCATGCACTGATGCTCACTGAGCAGAACCTGTCTAGGCTGATTTGCAACAGTAATTGACGATAATCTCTTAATTAAGTTTTTGTTTGCCTCAACTATAACAGATTTTTGTACTTATTTGTCATCAGATCCTTCTCCTATACAAATTTTAGAACCTTATGCACTCGACCAAATAAGAAGTTGGTTTTCTTCTTTTCCTCAAAGAGGCTGGTGTGGTTGATTCCAAAAGAAATGCTTTATGTCATCAATAGTGTTGTTTCGCTTCAACCATTTCAAATTTTCAAATTGACTACAAGTAAAAACACTCATTCTGGCATCAAAGTTAATACAATATTTGGTTGCTCAGATAACAAAAGATGATCTCACAACTCGACATTTTTCTTCCTTCAAATCCACTTTCCTTCGGATAAGGAAGCCTTGATATCATGCCTTTCAGGAGCAAAAGGCTTAGTGGATAGAATAAAGGTATTATATTACAATTATTACTAGCTAAAAATGGAAAGTAAGACCTTCCCCAACGGAATCACCCTAAATCTGTGGGATTTGAAAACTTTGATGTCTGTAAACTCTCTGCATTTCCGTTTGTGTAGAGAGAGAGTTTTGAAGGTCAAATTTTCATAAGACAGATTAGATTGTAGATAAAACATTATCAAAAGATTTCGCTCTCATTTTTTGAAAGGACTTTTTGATATGAGGTTTGAGGTTTACCATAGGCGCAAGATCTATGGTTAATTACACCTCTCAATAAAGGGAAAACACTTTTAATTAAGACTAGTTATTAAACACTGAATATTTAACATAAAGTAGCAATAAACTTACATTTTAAGTTGTAAAATTTATCACTTGGAGCTTAAAGTAGATGGTAGAGGAAATAATGATGAATTTGATTAAGATCTCATGATTCCATCATCTTGGGTCGTCATGGTCCCTGATCTACTTAATCAAAAAAGGTAGTCCAACCCAACTTGACTAAATAATCCTCATTAGCAATCATGAGTTGTGTCATCCAAAGGATCCATATAGATCTGCGGTGGATGTTTATCTAAGGGGACAAAATTAAGTCGATCTTAAATGATATAAAGATTTGTGTCAATCAATTGTACTCTTATGTTTAACAATTCAAATTGTATAAAGTTGTTTGGGAACATACGGGTTGTAACTGTGACCATAATATAATGATGTCGTTTGGAGGCAACCACCCGATCAGAGGGCCCCGATTGTAATCACTACTTTTAGGTGTCATTTAACGACAATATCACGCGGACAGAAGACTCGGGTCACATCCTTACAAGCGTGCAATTTCTTCGACTGTAAATATTAGGATATAATTGATATGACATTCATTTTTTTGTGAGCTGAAGTCAGTCAGAAGTTTGTCACCCTCGATAAACTATCATGGATAGTGGATGGGTTTTGCTTTAAATATTTCAGTGATTAATTTTAAATTACGTGTTTGTTTGAAAACATAGATTGAATGTTGGTTTCAAATTAGCCCCTTCGATTGAGATTAATTCTTTTCTTTTTACATATCTCACACCTAAACTTCACATATCGCACACGTAAAGTTTTCATTTACAGCTTTAAACCTATGCATGAAAAGGTTCATTTAATTTTTAAAAAGAGGTAATAATGTTATTTTTGATATGATATTAAATATTTGATTGTTATGTTTGTGAATATGAATGTTCATGCATAAGATATGTAAGTGTCACATATGTAAACACACTTAAAAAAAAGGCAGGAAAAAGAGCAAAGCAAAGATTACCGAGTAGGTGAAGTACGACTTCTGTTGCTATGGCCAAAAAATCCCGTTAATGATCCTTTTACACATAAAAAAGGCATTGAATCAGTCGAGCAGATTAACGAACTGTCTATAATAAATTCTAGTTTTTATTTGAATAAAAATTTTAATTCAATCACTTAAATTTCGTAAGAATTTGACTATTTTTTCAAATGAGACTCTTTGTATCCTGACATCCTACATTTTATCATCTTCCATTTTGACAATTATGACTTTTTCCTAAAAAAAGGGTTCTGTCATGATTATTTCATTGTATCTTTCCTTTTCTTCAAGGTTTCTCTCTATTTTCACCATACCTACCTATTCTTCTTCTAACCCTATGGTGTTCTTCATTGTTGATTGCCCTAGTTTGTTAAAGATCTTCCCTTTCTTGTACTCTGGATCGACACAACTTGACATCGGTGATAAGTAATCAAGATCTACCCACAACTGCTCCAGCTCTACGGAGTACTCCTGAATCGATCTATTACCTTGAACCACTGTCTTTAGCTCACACTAAATCTTGAACACGCTCATGTGTTTCTTTGTCTCAACATAAATCCACTATAGCTTTACCTAGATGCCCCTCACAATTCGAATTCCATATACTGAGGATATAATTGACAGAACAATCCAGTTGAGCAATCAGGTGTAAATTAAGGCGTTTGTGATCCACCACCTATCCCCCTTAGCACTGTCACTTTTTGACTCGACTCCCGTCAGATATCCCTCTAGTCTATTCCGTACAAAAGTAAACTCGATCCAACATGACAAACTCAAATATGTGTCGGTCCATCAAATTTCAGATCTACGGGAGGGAGATCTAGTTTCACCTGCATTAGAACAAGCACTGAGGTAGTGGCTTCCGTTGAGATGCTAGCTCACTCGATGAGCCCGACCAAAACCTTCAAAACTTCAAGTGCTATCTTTCCTAGAAACTCCAAATTCTTTACTTTACATACTATTTCCATCTTCTAGAATCCTGTATCACAAGAATCCAAATCAAGATCACACAGGGATCACATGTTTGTACTTTACATACTTTGCATACCGATTCTTCGAGTATGTACGTTGCGATCATGTTTCAAATCTGCCATCACGTCTTGTCCTCCCTGGTTAGCGAAAATCACGACTGTATCGCGGGGGTTCATACCAATCCTGCCACACGTTAGCATCGCCCTCTTCGTTCTGCGTCGTTGAGGCACGCCAATCCCGTTGCTGCCTTCCCTTTAATCGCGATTGTATTGCAATCGCAGAGGACCCTAATCCCTTTGTTTTCTGCGCCGTTGGCTTCTCCAGCGAATTCGCGAGTCACGATAGTATCGTCGTTGGCTTCTCTAATGAGTTCGCGAGTCGCGACACGAGGTTGCGGGTCTCTTAGGGTTTGGCTCTTTTGACTGCTACATATTTCAGGTTATTTCGGGTTATTGAAGTAAAATTGTAGAGTTATTTTATAATTATTTCAAGATTATTTTGAGATTATTAAAGATAAATTTCAATTCAATAACTCATAAATAAGTCCAAAATAATCTCCGCAGTTAATAACCCTGAAATAACAATGCGAAATTTATTTCGGAGTTATTGAAGTGAAATATATAATTTTCTCTTTAATAACTCTAAAATAACCCAGAAAAAACCTTGAAATAACCCTGTAGTATTATTTCGGGGTTATTCAAGTGGAATCGCGGAGGTTATTTGGAGATTATTTCAGGATTATTTTAAGATTATTGTGGAGTCCGCAATTTCACTTTAATATTTTTTTAAGTGACCTGATATAGCACATATATGGCGGTATATTACTATATTACTGGGAGTCCTCAAAAAATCGGTATTACAAACTTTTACAAATAAATCCCTAGACTTCTTCAATATTCCCTTTTTTAGCATTAGGACCTAAATAAGGTCCAATTCTCAAGAAGAAATTAAAATTATTTGTTATATAAGGACTTCCAAGAAAGGGACCAAATGAGGATAAAAGTGTTTAGGTCAGGATATCTCAAACTAAATTTACTTCAAAACACAAAAAGCTTTTCTTCTTTTGCAACTGCAAAATATTTCTTTCTATTTTGCAAAAATATTTTTCACCTGTAAACGATATAATTTATAATTGTTTGATTGGTGTCATATAAAGTAGAAATATAGTCCTGCAGCTAGATAAAAAAATCATATAAATTTAACTGAGAATACCCTGATCCACATTCTCTCCAAATTATCATATAAATACAACATATTGTTCCCTAGAAATAGAAATAATATGAAAATGAATAAAAGAAATCCATTTTGAAAATTAAATTCAATTTCTGTTTCAGCTATACTTCTGCACAGACAAAAGGAGGGTTTTGTAATTTCTGTTTCCACAGATTGATGAGGTTGACAACCTTTATTGTTTAATGAGAATTAATGCATCTAATTATATAATAATTTTGACAAGCAAATGATATGATTAGTGTAAATGATCAAAATAGAATTCTTGAGTTTCATGCCTCATTACTCGTCCTAATCATATACCACTTTAAAGAGAGAAATTATTGCGTCCGGGGTCCGGACGTCGGCTGCTTTCAGACAACGGACGCGAAACACTGATCACAGCAGATTTTTTTTTCTCCCCGGCAATCCGTGTATTGCATCTGTTATCTGGATGCAGTTCTATATTCGAACTCTGGACGCAATAATTTTTCTGGCAGATGAGAACCAGAATAGATTACTAGAAGCTGCTAAAACTTAAAGTTAGAGCAAAGGAATCTAAATGGCATGATTCTGCAAGAACAGGTTGATTACAGTTAGTTTAACATTGCCAACATTAGTTGTATAGCCAAAAATCAAGATCTGTATGATGCACTAAGACAGACCTTTGAGTTTCTTAGCCCCAATTGTCCAAACCAGGGTCACTGAGCTGCCGAGTATGTGCCATTGGATGAATACTTCCCTTCATCTGTCAAGCTCAAGTAGTCTATCTGAAAATGCAGCACAGTCCATTTTATAGAATGGGATCACCTCTATCAAAGATCCAACTCTCCTCCAACTCGAATCGGTCTTGAGATGATTGGACGGGCTTACAGGGATGTGGCCTGGCGAGTGCGAGGGGAACGAAAGACAATGTACGGCATAGCCATACAAAAACCTGCCAGAAATATAGATCTACGTGTAATGAACTATGTAACCGAGGACAGAAGATTGCCCATGAAGAAAATGCATTAATGAAGCGTGAATAGGATTCTTTAAGACTCATAAAACAGTTCAGGAATAAGTATTCAGCAGACTACGGCTCTTCTTTATGTTGAGAAATTTTCTGAGAGAAAACAAATTTCTAATAACAGAGAATCATGTTTATGAAAACCTGCAAAATGAAATGTAATCGAAGCAGTGACATTGCGGTCATAAAGGAATGGTGGATTTATATACAAACTATGCATGATTCCTATGTATTTACATATTTAGCACCTAAACTTTGATATTTATATATGCAACACTTCAGCGACATAACCATAATAAAGAATGTGCATGAAAAATTGCATAGCACTTTAAAAAAGTTAGTATTGGTGGTATTCTTGATATGAAGTTGAGAGATTCCAGTATTTTACAAGAAAATATTAAAATTTAGACGTTAGATCTGTAAATAAAAGCTGTGGTATGTATGTAAATTCCCAAAAATTTATTATGAATAGATGTTGCAATTAATTTTTTTATGCCAGGCTTACAATGCTCGTAAAATCATTGCATAAACATTGGAGATAATTATATGTTCTGTGCATGTGTGCGTGCAGATGCGCACGGATCTGGTGTTGCAACGGAAAAGAGAGAACTGTAAATCAAATCACTGTAATAAAATATTAATAATTCATGATATCTACTGAAAAGAAGATCCAGTTTAACTGAAGTGGCCATTTTGTGTTATTGCACCAATGCTGGTGTTGAACGACTGGAGGCTTAGTATAAAGCTCCAAAAATAAACGGCCCAATTAAATAATAAGTGAATTGAACTAAGTATGGGTACTATTGCAATCATGAAGTATAATAAAGAGATAACTCTGAAGTTAGAAAAAATTATCAATCATTTCATCCTCTCCAATCCAACGGAGACATCAATCATTTGAGAATCACTCCTAAGATTCTTATCTGCCGCCCAAAGATTCTTATCATCCTCCGAAGCAATCAATTTGAGGATTACGTTAGTAGGTTTTAATAAAAGTATTAATATGAGGGTGTGTTTGGCTGCATCCGAGATTTACATCAAATAGCATTTAGTAAATGTGATAAATCCTAATTTATCAAATCCGGATGCTTTTGAATCCAGAATTGTGTTCGTTGCAGTTATGATTTAATCCAGGTAAATCCATTAGACACCTTTGGCAACGAAGGAAGTTACATGGTACTGTGTCTTCGTTCTCATTAAATGCATTAAATCCACCTCTCAGTCGGATTAACTAAATCCAGATTACCGTTGAAACGAAGAGGAAATGGGATTTAACCGAACGCCAAATTTAGTTCCCTTATTTTTCATGTTTGTTTGGTTTTACCCTAAATCCAGAGAAATTTAGATATAAATCCTATAAATAAGGTGCTACCAAACGTCACCTCAGAGTATATATGAAAAATAAGAACTAAAAAGGATCATGTTTGGCTTATTTTGTTCACTATTGACCCAAACAATGTTGGCATCCATTTTTATGCAACATATGTGGGGCACCCTTTCTGAGTGACACGGGCCCACCGTGACTCAAGGAGCCCTTAGGACCTTTAAGCGAACGCTTCAGGCACTATAATTGAAGTCTGAAACATCATAATCATGCTTTGAGTTCATCGTTGTAAGAACTACATCACTTTCGGTATCTTCGTTAACGCTCATTCCTGTGATACGGGGTTGTACCTTGCTGATACGGATATCCCTGTTACGCAGACCGTCGACGAAATCACCCACACCGTGTTCATACATTAAGCTTAAGGTCTGGATAGACGAATTTCGCATTGGAACCGTTTTTACTCAGTGATACGCATATGGAGCGTCTCCTAGAGCTCTTAAGACACACTTACGAACCACCTACGGAGGTCAGAGTATCATGTCCCACTCACTTCCAGCCTTCCAGCATTCCCACGAGGTTCGAAACCCCTTCGACCGACTTTTACGGTGCGTGACCACATCAAAACCCTCCTGAAGCGTTCTAGGTCCCTCAACCGGCGTGACTACACCCGAGGATGGCGTGACCACGCCGGCCAAACAGAGCGCACGATGTAATTACGCAGCTCTCACGCGTGGCCACGTCGACCCTTAGTTTTGACCACACCCAAACCAAGCGTGGCCACGCCAGTTCGACCAAATTCGCGAATTCTGCCCTCTGGTCCCCATATTTTCGACGACGAAGCGGTCATGACCCATGGATAAAGCCATATTGTCTGGTTCTTCACCAAAATATGGCATGAGGAGTAGTTTTGGCCCATTCCAAATTAGGAAAGAGGCTTGGGACACTCTCCCAACAGTAGAAGAAACTAGGGGGAAGGAGCCATTTTGATTGATCGGTTTTCATTGTTGCAAGAGAGCTGAGGAGGAGCAAGGGAGCTTCGAGGAGGAGTTTCTAAGGAGATTCTTGAAGGATTCTTCATCTTCCTCAAGGAGAAGGTTCGGGAAGTTGTTTTCCTCCATCTTCTTCACCATTTTTATCCCTTCCGCAGTCTTCTTCTTCTTCTCCAAAGACTCCCTGTGAGTTGAGCCCGGGAGAGCTTCTTCCAAACTTTGGAGAAGGAAAACTCCGACGATTTCTTCTTCCTCTCCGATGAGAACTTTTTCACCACTTGGGGTAAAGAAAAAATCTGGTAGCCTCGTCATCCTTTCCAGCGAGGAGAGCATCTTCATCATCTTGCAGAAGGAGTCCGACGTTGTCATCCTCACCTCGAAGGAGCTCGGACAAGCCCAGAAAACACGTCATCAACTATCGCATTGGTGAGATTTTTGAACTCTCACAATTTTTATTCCTAAAGCCCCCTAGGTCTGGATGTTAGAGGAATTAGGTTAGAATTTTTGTGTGCTTAGAGGAAACCTTCATAGAATTAGGTGATTTGTGTTGTCCCTTGTGAATCCAAAGAGTAAAACCTACGCTTTTTTTTCCTAAACCAAAATCCGAAAGTCAAGGTTGTACTAATCCCGCCGTTTGCCTCAGTGATTTCATTTGGATGGACGTTTGAAATCCATCAATCGAGAAAATGAAGGCGTTCCTTCAGTCCTCGTCTTCTCGGTCACGAAGAATCCTCCTTGTGAGGGATCCCATTTAGCTCTGACAACGGATCATGCTCGTCCAAACAAACTCACGAGAAGCCTAGGGTAAGCGAGCAACGGAGAGGTTTACCAATGTCATATTGCGAAGCAACATGACGCCCACCTCTGTTTGCATGACACAAAATGGGATTCCCCGTTGGCGGAGCATGTGGTGTTTGCATTTCCATTGTGTACACCGCATGAATTTAAAAAATGTGCATTGAAAATATCTTTTTTTGCATGTGTTTTCGATCGACCGCCTCCATTAGCTTAATCGACACTTTCCTTCCGTCAACTCGGTTGATCGACCGCCACCGGCCCGATCGTCCCGATCGACCACTTTTGGTCCATTCGACTGATCGGCCACCACCGACTTGATTGGCTCAACCGACCATGCTCCGTCAATCAACCTCCCAGCCCGATTGACAGCTCCTCGTCAATCGACCGCCAAGCCGGTTCGATCGGCCACTCCTGTCAGCTCGACCGATCGGCCACCACAGGCTCGATTGGCTTGACCGATCATTTTTCGTCGA